CTCCCTATATAGGTAGTATAGTATCAAATGTGTTGTATTTCCCGTTAGTGTGCCTGTGTTCGCTGTGTGTTGTGTGTGTAGTGTGATGGTGTGCTGTGTGTACTACTAGCACTAGCAGCATGTGTCGTATCACATGTATTATGCGTTATGTCCCGATACACACTAGCGGAGTCCGATGTGAGCACACATACACACACCACACACACAACACTACATCACTGTTGTGAATTACAACACACACATCACACACTGTGTAATGTCATCACACATGTGTGTTATGTGTGTGTGTCAGTTGGTGTTGTGTGTTGCTGTATCGCGGAAGTGTGTGTGTGTGTGTGTGTGTGTCCGTACGCATCGTGAGTGTGCCATAATCCACACACTGATCACAACACCGATATGTGTGACACAACACACCATACACACACCACACCACCACACAACAACCTGTAAATCGGATAGAACCAAACTCCATAATACTATTACGATAATCATTTGTGTGTGTATGTGTGTTGGTGTGTTGTGGTGTGTGTGTGTGTGTGTATATGGAAGATGGAATATGCACTACCGCATATATATATATATATATATATATATATATATATATATATATATATATATATATATATATATATATATGTATATATATATATATATTTATATATATATATATATATATATATATATATATGTATGTATGTATGTATGTATGTATGTACACACACACACACACACATACATATATATGCATATACACATCCTTGTCCTGGGCTGACCTCGTTCAGAATGCAGCGTGTGGTCATAAGAGGGCCCTGTGGCTTCCACGGGCGTCTTCCCGGAATTCATGATCCACTCGACGTCGCCCACGCCCTCGACCTCTGCCCACCCGCACAATCCGTTCTCGAAGGTGCAGGAGGCGAGGGCGGGGCACGAGCGTTCGAGAGTCGTGATGTCATCGATGGCAAATGTGACGTCCTCAAGCCCCTCCTCGGCTACGGCCATAAAGCTAAGCTGCAAGGGAAGGGGGAGTGAACGAGGGTCCAAGAGGCGGGAGTTTAAACGGGTTTAATGGGGTTAACGCGGTTTAGGTTGAGGGGTTGAATGTTAAAATAGATGACGAGACAATGGCAGCTATTAAGGGCAGAATAGCAATGGATCTTGGTGCGCTGGTTATTGAAGGGATTTGATGGGGTGCATGGGATTCTAGTATGCATAATTACAGAGATGGGGTTTACTAAGGGAAAGGATAATGGGGTATTAATGGTGATTTAGTTGGGCAGTGGTGAGAAAGAAGGGGGACCCTAATCCTGCGTAAACTTTTGAACATCCAAGATTAATTAACCAGGCGATTATTATGAATATTTTTCCTACTGTTAGATTAAAGTTATGAAGATGACAAGGATTGTGGGGGCAATGACAATAATGATGATAATAACGATATGATAGCAACAATAATGAAAATGATAAAGATAACAAATAACAAAAAGCAATAACAATAATAAATCCAACTAGAAGCATTCACTGAGCCCATACTTCCTCCAAGGCAATAGGGTCACTGATACAATAAAGATATTCACACTTGAAGAATTAAATTAAAATCACCTCTTCCTCATGTACACTGGTGACACCCGTGTTCCTCTATGTCGCAATGTTAAGGAATCCTGTTGAAAAATCCTGGATCCGGGAAATTTAATTGCAGTTAAGTTGGACCAGGACATGCCTCTGGTAATGTTTTCATAAAAATCTATTCGTTCGCAGGGTCCGGACCATGATCCGGATCGCTACCAAAATTTAATGACACCTCTTACAAAAATTTCATAAAAATCTATTGATAACTTTTTGTTATCCTGCTAACCATTTAACCAACAAAGTAACCAACGCCACCCAAAACAACCTCCATGGCGGAGGTAATAATAATGACGATAGTAATAACAATAATAATAACAACAACAACAACAACAATAATAATAACAATAATAACAATAACAATAATAATAACCAGAAGCACCCTGAGAGTGCATACCACCGTCAAGGCAATAGGATCACTAATGCAATAAAAATACTCATACTTGAAGAATTACATAAAAACATCTTTCACAAGCACACTGACGGCGTCCGTAAACAGAACTATCCTTGGCGGAGGTAATGATGATGATAATGATAAGTGTGATTTTACTAATAACAACACTAGTAACACTAGTAACAACAATAATTATCCTTTCAGCCGTACATGATAATCGCCAAAAATCTGCACTGAAGCCAGAGCCAGGACCCACTCCCCGCCCGCCGCCGGCTGATCGATCGCCCACACGGGGTCTTGGTCGTCGATGGAGGCGTCCGGGTTCTTGACGTAGGCTCGCACGCTGAGGTTCGTGTTGCCAGAAAAGAAGAAGTACCACGACAAACACCTGCGAGTTAATACTTTATGTAAGGTCGCCTGAGGTTATTTATTTGTGTACTGATTCGTTATTGGTTATAGTGGCAATGTTAAATGGTGCTGACA